ATTCTTTTCATTTTATTTTATTAATTTGTCACATTATTTTCCATGAATTTTAAGGTGTGGTTTTTTTGTTTTTTTTTTTCATGTTTAGGGAAAAGGTAATATAAGCAAAATATTAGTTAAGAATAAAATATTAAGAAAATATATATTAAGTATTATTTAAAATATAAATGATAATCACGTGTCAATTTGTTTTGTATTTATTTTGATTATAGTTTATAAGAAATAAGAAAAAATAGACTAGTCCGTCGTATGCATGATGATTATAAATTCTAATTTAGCTGGTCAAATAATATATTGACTAATTAGTCGATATGTTTTTACATATACTTTTTTTAAAATTCATATTTTATTATATAAATAATTGTTAAGTTTTTATTTATTAATTAATATTTTTATTAGATAAATAAAAAAATTATTATATTTATATGTTAAAATAATTAATTATAATTAATAATTTAAATTTAATTAGTTAATATTTATAATTTAAAATATAATATTATAATATATTTATATATTTTAATAATACAATAAAAAATATAATATTTTAATTATAATATTTTTTATTTTAATTTAAATATATAACTATTTTCTAAAATAAATCAACACACTCTTAAGTATCGGATTCACGATGGGATGAGACGATACAAACTAATAGATTAAAACTATTAGTCTACCTTACCAATTTTTTAGATGGGTTAAAGGGTAATGCATTAAATTTAATCTAATTACTTATTCTTAATCCAAAACAATAAAAACAATATATATATATATATATATATATATATATATATATATATATATATATATATATATATGTTAATTATTTGATAGTATACGTATTTTCTTGAATATCATAGTAAGGAGAGTGAGCAACACAGGCTCACAAAAAGACACATGGGAGATCTTCTAAAGTTAATTATCTTTATAGATTAGATACAACTAATACCACCTTAATCCATTACACCACTTTTTCTTTTGTTGTTTGAAGTAGAATTACTATAAACTAAGCTTTTATTAATAAATTGATAGCATTTATTCAATCGCAATTATGCAGTTGTAAATCATTATTAATTTTAAATCATTGTTATAACATACCAATACTGTATTATTAATTTTTTTTAATAGGCAGCGTTTGTATTAACTCTTAATTTTAAGTCTGATAAAACCTACCATATTAAAAAATCATTACTTATATATTGTTTTGGCAAAAGGTTTTTGTGACGGTTAGATTATTTAGTGTGATCTCCAGAAAAAAAAAAAAAGTTGTAGTGACTGCTTGTTAATTAATACGTGACATATCAATGTTACTTGTTAATTTTATTCCATTCTAATAAAATGATCTATTCATACCATTTAATTAATATGTTTATGTTATAGACGCACAGTTTCATGACTAGATCCATCACAAAACTCCGAAAAAACGCAACTTTTTCCTTCTTTATAGCAATATTCAGACACATGGATGGCCTCAATTCACTGTTCTTATTCAATATAGTAATTACACCTTACGTATGTATTTAAAAAACTATAACTATATTAAATAAATAAAATTAATTTAACATGTTATAAGTGTACATTTCTTAAAAATAAATATATGATGTAACTTGCTAATTAATTACTTTCTAAAAAAATGGATGTAAGTTAGAAAATGTGTATGAAATATGCTAGTTTTAATTTTGACCCTCTTTTTACTGGTTTAATATGCAATGTTTTCTAGAAAGAAAACATATATTTTGGAGAATATCTTCAATATAAATTTTTAGAAACAAAAATATTATTTTATCATAAATCTTATACATAAATCACTTAAAATTTGTACAAGTAAATTAAAATTAAAAAAAATATTATTTATATAACTAACTATCTCTATGAGATATATCATATAATATTATTTTTATTTAAAATAATTATTGTAAGAAAATTCTAAAATGCACGTAACCTATTTCAAATTTCACAACTTATGTTATTTTTATGTTATTAAATTATATATATATATATATATATATATATATATATATATATATATATATATATATATATATACTTTTTTTATTGGTATGGTTATGAGTTCTAATCATTTAAAACTCGAGGGTAAATGATATTTATATATAACCTCATCTTTTAATTCACTTATATATATTTTAAGACAAAATCGTTTTAGATTAAAATTTTAAACAAAGATAATATTTCGGATATATGAATTATTAATCTTAATTAATGGAAAACCTATACATAAACGAGAGTATATACGTGTATCTTCTAATTTTATTAAAATTATTGCTAAGTATCTAAAGTTTTTATTTTATTTTGCATCCCATAATCTTATATGTTTAAATCTATTAACCGTTGCTTTATGATAGAATTATGTATAGTTTAGAGTGTTTGGTAGAGAAAGTATTCCCTTAATCTTATTTAAAAAGTAAATTGTCTCGTTACATGAAATCATGATACTTTCATTCATATATTAAATATTGACATTGACATCTATTGTGGGGTCATTGTAGAGTCTCACTCCATAGTTGGTGTGAACACTCTTGTTTTTAAACTTAATATTGACGTCCCCATTTTACCTAAAAAAATAACAGATTGAGTTGATAAACCAAAATTAATTATAATATTATATTTAAATTATAAAAATTATTTAATTAAATTTAAATAATTAATTATTTTAACATAAATATAATAATTTTTTAATTTATTTAATAAAAATATTAATTAATAAATAAAAAATTTAAAATTATTTATATAATTAAATATATATATATATATATATATATATATATATATATATATATATATATATATATATATATATATATATATATATATATATATATATATATATATATATATATATATATATATATATATATATATAACCCGACCATCTTGTTCTTGACCGAATGGACTAAAATAGGATGGGTCCGTTGTTTTGTATTCCTAACATTTACTCTTTTGGTGAGAGTAAAATTTCACTCAATTCCTTTACTCTTAAGATGAGAGTAAAATTTCACTCAATTCCTATCCTTAATCACCAAGTAGAGTATATATCTTTTAAGTGCAATCCTTGCATTTTATTATTCATTTGTTTATTAAATTATAATATAGTATTTATAAAAGAAAGAAATAAAATATTTTAAAAAATAAAAACTGTACTGAATTTTTATAAATTAGATTTTATTTAAAATGATAAAAATATTTACATTGTACAATTCAAACATAAAACTTAATTTCAGAGTTATAGGAAAAAATTATCATTAATAATTTAAAAACTACAGAATTAATAAAAAGTAAATATTTAATAGTTGAAACATTTTTTCGTAATGCATTTTTAAAAAATATTTAAACATAATTAACATCAAACAAAATACTCTATTGAACATGATTATACAAATTATTTTTAATTATAGAAAACATGCAAATAATAGTTCCGTACATATACGTATTAAAGATCAGAAAGCAAAGGGACAGAGTTCTTAATTAAAAACCAACAAACTAAATTGAGTTACACATGGTCTATGGGTGAAAGTGAAGCAGACCTATTCTTGGACCATTATGGGCATTGTGGCTATGTGAATCAGTGATGTCAGCTTTATTGGTTGGCCCACTCCATATACAATTGGACCTTCTAGGGCCAATCAAGAGGCAACTATGTAGCACCAATCTAGGCCTTAGTGTCTTCTCTAGCTACAAAAGATAGGTTTATTCAGTAAAATAACTTTATTAAATTCATACAAATTTTTAATTAATCCAAGTTTTAATTATAAATTATATTAAAGGCAAGAAGACTCAATAAGCTAAAACTATTGATTATATTAAGGATTTAGTTGTCTTATTGTTCTTAAAACGTTTTCAGTTTTTAAATTTTTTAAATATTAAAAAACAAAATTAATAAAAATTCTGTTTTTATTTATAGTATTTACACCTTCGTTGATAATTACATTATATTCTCATTCTTTATTGTAAAGAAGTTACTAAAATCGTTTTTTAATTTTTCTGTCGGTTGTATTATTTTTTTGTCTAAAACCTTTAGTATTATGAAGCAAATTTTAAAATTATTTTCTGAAACAAAGATAAAAATTGAAAATTAAAATATTATTTAAAATTAAAAATATGTTTAAAATAAATATTGAAAATAATATTTATTAAATGTTATTAAGAGAAGACTGGGTTTAATAGAAGTAAGAATGGCTTATTCTTAAAATGCTCTTATAATGATTCCTGTATAAACATACTTATTAATAATAACTTCTGAAATTAGTTTCATTTTAAAATAAGAATTCAGATTCATAATATAGAAATATATTAGTGAAGGTATTTTTCTACATAAACATTAAATGTTATCTCGCAACAATTAATTAATTGTATCTAATTAACTAGTGTGTCAAAAAAGTAATTATTTAATGAAAGATAATTTACTTGAAATATGTTATTTAAGAAGTATTTGGGAAATGTAAAAAAAAGAAAACTATATATTAATACGATACGAACTACCAATAATAGATTTGAAATATGAATGGAAATGTATATTAAAAAAAATATTTAAATTAAATATGAGTTATAAATAAATATTAATTATGTGAAAATATATATAGTTGATTAAGACGTTTTGATATTAAAAAATTGGAGTATTTAATAGTTATATAAATCTTAATTAAATAAGGTATAATTTGTATAATTATTTTATTAAAATATTATAAAAGAAAATATTTTATTAAAAATTATCTTGATTAGAATTTTAATGTGTCCTTTAATGAATAATGATATCTTTGACAGTTTTATTTTTTATTTTTTCTATAAAAGGATTCATGCAATTCAACATTTTTTTATATTATCTCATATTATATATAATATCGCAAAAAGTAGTAACTCATTTTGTGTTAAATGATTCTCATAAACGTTAAAGAAAAACCACTTATTTATTCGCTTGGACGACTGTAAATATGTCTTTGATTTTCGAGTAATTTTTTTATCGATTTGTCTCTTTGAAGAAGCAAAAAATGGAGAAGAGCACCAACAAGTCGTGTAGGTTGAAGTGCATAAATAATTAGAGGTCGGATTCATCTGAAGGCCCAATACACGACCTAAACTTAAATAAACATAATATAATATACAACAGAATAAAGACATTTTTCCAGTATTCTCTGCAAAGTGTTACATAAATGACACATTCATTTTTTAATTTTTAATAAATTAATAATATATTTCACAAATATATGTATATATAAATAAAATTACCTATGTACGCGTGTTTGCTTGCAGACGAAGCTTGAATTAATTTATATTTAATACGATAACATGATCTCAGCATCCATGAATTCATCACAATCCAAATATCGAAAATAAATATGGATGGGTTCAAGTATTTTAGATTGGCATCACACCACACACTGAACCTAAAAGTTTGGCACCACACCGAATCTTTCTTATTTTTTTTATTCATTAAATTTTCAAATTTAAAATACAAATATATTTAACACTTATCCATAACTTATCAGGTCAATTAAAAAAAAATCAGTTATTATCTATAATCCATTAAATGAAGTAAAAAATCTTAACAATGAAAGCTTACCAGGTGAGAATACGTGGTGCAAAACAAGTTTGAAAACGTATAGATCGGTATTTTCTATCCACAAATCGTCAAAGGTTGAACTAGAATTGAGTAATCTTGTGGCTAAACACTTTCTCGTATTACACTCACAAAGAAAACACACGACGCATATACTTGACTTTGACATTTTGAGAGAGACATACAAAAGCATAAACAGAGATTCAGAACAAGCCTTTCGAGTTACGTACCCATAAGCTCACTTATTTAGATTCTCATTCCAACCCCACCTGCCCCACCTATAAGATCGTTCTATAATCTCTCTCTTTCACTTATCCCCCTCTCTCTCTCTGAGCTGTATATAGTATTGATATAGTATGACCTCTGGCTCACTTTCTTCTTACCTTTTCCTGATTTTTTTTCTTTTTGGTCTCATCTTTCTTTGATTTCTGCTTAGGAAAATGATCATGCACACCTATGTGTTATTACATACTCAGAAAGAGAGTATGCATATGTTTATGTATCATTACTCTCTGTTTAATGGGTTTCACATGAAAAGATCAGTACTTGGCAAAAGTAAAGATTTTTTTGCGAAACATTGTATCACTGGCTATGGTGTATCTGCAGTTTGTACCGTGTCAATGAGTAATTAATTCCTATGATGTTTTCTTTTTCACCTGGGGTGTGCAGGAATTCATCGGGTGCATTTCAAGTGGGATGCAATATGGACATTGAAGCCATGATGTCAGAGGTTGATACAAGAGAAGAAACCAAGGCAGCCATGGAGAGCAGTGAGCCTCCAAGGCGTCTTGAGGTGGTTTATTTGTTACTAGTTTATTGCTTCAGTTTCAGAAACATATAAATATGCATTATCTCTTCATTTAAATTCTTTGACAATAACAGGGAAAATATGCTGCAATAGTAGTCTGCTGGCTTCTTGGCAATGGATGTCTTTTCTCATGGAACAGTATGCTGACTATAGAAGATTACTATGTTTTCTTGTTTCCGGTAATGGATACATAAATCTTGGAGACTATTCCAATTTGAGCTGCTTGAATTTTCTGTTTTCTGTCAAACAATGCTTCATAATATAGATAAAGTCATAGTCTGCCAAAAGTTTAGGAATTGGTTAAAAACCTGAAGTGTCTTCAAACAAACTATAAGGAAAATTGTAGAGTTAACCAATGTATTTCAGACCATGTATTTTGATAACAAAGAATAGATGACAGAGCTTTACAACAGTTTATGTTGTTACCTTTGATATTCAACCATACACTATAGGACAGATGATCAATGAATTTCTATTCACTGTTAGAGTCTATTTGAATATTTTACCGAAGTTGTTCTAATAATTTATGATTACATTGCTAAACTTACTGATCAATAAACTTCAGTGGTTATAATTTTTTTTATTTGTTTTAGTGATCTTCTCACACTCCAATACATGTTCTAGTGATCAGAGTTTGTAAAAGATTGAACTAACTGTAATCACAGAACATCAGATAAAAGAACAAAATTTGACAAAGAATAAAAATGAATTTTTATAATAAAAAAAATGAACAGTAAGTGACTCTCTCTTAAAAATAGGAAAACACAACCACAGAACCTTAAAGAATAACTTGTTTTTCTATCATTTCTTAAAATAATAAGATGAAGAAAAGAAAAAATTTGGGATGTTTCTAAAAAGGGAGACAAAGCTCCTTTATATAAGAATTGGTAAGGAGTTATTCAACCTTCTTATGTAGGATTTTTCCCAACTGTATCTTGCATCTTGCGTTCTTAAATGTTGTTCTTGTTATAATTTATATACCTGGATTGCTTTGGAATAGATTTTTATATTTTTAATTCTCTGCTCTGTTTGTGCAGAAATACCACCCATCGAGGGTGCTTACGCTTGTATATCAGCCATTTGCAGTTGGAACACTAGCAATACTGGCTTACAAAGAGGACAAAATCAATACAAGGATAAGAAACCTATTTGGATATACTCTTTTCTTCATAAGCGCTTTGTCGGTGTTAATTGTAAGTCTCATTCACTTGCTTGTAATCTTTGATTCCTTTAGACTGTGGCCTTGATGTGTGCTTTTATTTTTCCTATTAATCTGCCATAGTTGGATTTAGCAACATCAGGTAAAGGAGGACTTGGAACTTTTATTGGTATATGCGTAGTTAGTGGTGCATTTGGAATAGCAGATGCTCATACACAAGGTGGAATGGTGGGAGACCTGTCCTACATGCTTCCAGAATTCATTCAGGTTTGCATCAGCAATGGAATTACTATGAAGTTTTGAACAATTCCTTCAACATATGCATTTTTTTTTCTTATATGGTTTTATTGCTGTAGTCTTTCCTTGCTGGTGCAGCTGCATCAGGTGCACTAACATCTGCTTTGAGGTTGATAACAAAAGCAGCATTTGCCAATTCTAAGAACGGTCTTCATAAAGGAGCCAGTAAGTTGAACTCTCCAGTGCTTCAGACATTTGATAATGAAGATATATTAGTGAATCATGGTTATGTGGTTTATTTTGATAATAGCTCAATATACATTGCTGGTCTAAGTACCAATGCCAAATTCTTATAATGCATAAAAAAATTGTGACGATTGTTTTCTATATTTTATTCGATGTCATTTAACTTTATACTATAAAGATCGTTCCACGTGATTCATACAAATAAATTAGGTATTGATCACTTGTCATTCTACATGCCTTGCAGTTATGTTCTTTGCCATATCAACATTCTTTGAGCTTCTTTGTGTTCTTCTATATGCATTTGTCTTTCCTAAATTACCAATTGTGAAGTACTTCCGTGCAAAAGCAGCATCTGAAGGATCCAAAACTGTTTCATCTGACCTTGCCGCAGGTGGCATTCAGACCTCCTCTGGAAGAGTAGTGCTTCTTTTCTTTTCCTTCCCTTTTCAATGTGTCACAAATCACAATATGTTCCTCATTTTTCGAGGTTCAGCTTACAATTAAAGTACTTTTCTCAGGTCAACGAAGATGACAAACAATTTGAGCGCAAAGGAAATAAGCAACTGTTTATGGAAAACATTGATTATGCACTTGATTTGTTCCTAATATATGCACTTACTCTGTCAATTTTCCCTGGATTCTTATCAGAAGATACCGGATCACACAGCTTGGGCACATGGTATGTTCATTATCAACATAGCTTCTTTATTTCATTTATACTTGCATCTTTGTTCCTTTATGATCAGACACAACATGATCAAGATTAGTGTTATGTGCCATGATCAAGATTTTCCTGTTCCACCGACTATTACATGATCCATATTTGAGTTTTTTTAGTTCTTTTTTATGAATTGAAAAACTTAGGTTGTAGAGACCATAATTACATGAATGTCAAATGAACTGTTTAATTCTTTCAGGTATGCTCTCGTGTTAATTGCTATGTACAATGTGTGTGATCTGATTGGAAGATACATTCCACTCTCGAAAACCCTCAAGTTGGAGTCCCGAAAAATGCTCACCACAGTCATTGTTAGTCGCCTTTTGTTTGTGCCAGCATTTTATTTTACTGCAAAGTATGGCACACAGGGCTGGATGATCATGTTGACATCTTTTCTGGGGTTATCCAATGGTTACCTCACTGTCTGTGTTCTCACTTCAGCACCCAAAGGTTACAAGGTGGATTTGTTAAACAACCAGAAAATTTCAGGCTTTTTTAAATTCATATTTAGATTGATTAAACTTGTGCATTTTTGTTTTTTTCAATGTTTGTAGGGACCAGAACAAAATGCCTTGGGAAACTTGTTGGTGCTGTTTCTTCTTGGAGGTATTTTTGCAGGAGTAACACTTGACTGGTTATGGTTAATAGGGAAAGGGTGGTGAAATCTTGATTAAAAGCCAAACTAGAGAAATGGCTGAGTTATTCATCATTCAAAAACATATAGGTGTTTCCTTTCATGCTTTATAGTTTATAGTATGTTTAGAGTGTATACCTCATTTGAAGGACTAAGATAGAGTATTTGACCTTCCCAATTATTTGTGACTTCAATCCTTACCTTCATTATGCATAGGTGTCGCAAAATTGTCACTTTGGTCAGTTTGGTTCGATATGTAGAAAATGGAACGTCTAACTTAGTGAAAAATAAACTAGAAGATAAACATAGAATATACGATTACAAATATCGTATCATGCCATGATTCTACATGATTATTTTTTTCCATATTTAGCTTGGCATGACAGCGATGCACAGTGATGCACATTAATGTCATATCTGTTAATAGACAAATTTAGGATACCGACTATAATGGTTAGCGTAATTATAGCCTAGAATGTTTCTGTATTTCATGTATATATTGTGCTATCATATTCAATACAAGACAGGGGTTTTTGGAAATATTTTTATCATGGTATCAGAGCGAACCAAACTCTGATATCCAACAGCCCGAGAACACAGTCGTACTTCTAAAATGGCAGAGAGAGGAGAGGCGGTGAAGAAAACACCATCGCCATACGATCTGAGTGCCAGTGATAATCCTGGAAATGTGATTACACAGGTACAATTACGAGGAGAGAATTACGAGGAATGGGCAAGGGCCGTGAAGATATCTCTGCGGGCTCGAAGGAAATGGGGTTTCATAGATGGAACTCATAAGGAACCTGAAGAAGACACATCTGAGATAGAAGATTGGTGGACAATTCAATCGATGCTTGTATCTTGGATACTAAACACTATAGAACCTAGTTTGCGTTCCACTGTTGCATACATGGAAAACGCAAAGGACCTATGGGATGACATCAAGGAACGATTCTCGATCGTGAACGGACCAAGAATCCAGCAGCTAAAGTCAGAGTTGGCAGAATGCAAACAACAAGGAATGACTATGGTTTCCTATTATGGGAAGTTGAAAACGTTGTGGGATGAACTGGCAAATTACGAGCAAATCCCACAGTGTAGATGTGGGGGATGCAAGTGTAATATTATGACGCAACTTGAGAAACGAAGAGAAGAAGAAAAAATTCATCAGTTCTTGATGGGGCTAGATGATGAGGGCTATGGAACTGCACGGTCAAATGTTTTGGCAACAGATCCATTACCCTCGTTGAATCGGGTGTATGGCACCATGGTGCAAGAAGAAAGGGTGAGAACAATCACCAGGTCTAAAGAAGAGCGAGGAATGATCGTGGGAATGACTATGCGAGCGAAACCAGGAACAAGTTGCGCAATGAAGCGAAAGAAAAATCAGCTTGTTTGCATGCGTGTGGAAGGAAGGGACATGACAAAGGCAATTGCTTCAAGATCATTGGTTACCCGAATGGTGGGGAGAGAGACCACGAACCGATAGAAACGATGAAAAAAATCAACAAAGAACAGGAACCTTCCGAGGAAAAGGAGGAACGGCTCGCGTCAATATGGCGCACACTGGTGCGGATAACGTTGGTTCAACCGAAAACCAGAAGTCGCAGGATCGAGTAATGAGCAATGGCAGATCTTGACAAGCAATGTTGAATTCTCGCAAGGCAAATGAAACTGAAAAGATGATCGGTAAGAAAGCATGTGACTTGTGGATTATTGATAGTGGCGCCTCTAATCATATGACAGGAACACTAGAAAACTTGAGGGAGAGTCGAGCCTTGGAAGGGTGCCCAGTGGGACTACCAAATGGTGAATTGGTGCTGGCAAACAAAGAAGGATCGGTTTTCCTTGATGGAGGACCGAAACTTAAACATGTTCTATATGTTCCGAAATTGAATTGCAATTTGATTTCAGTATCACAATTGATCGAATGAAGTAAAATGTACAGTACATTTTACTGATAGATTTTGTGCAATGCAGGACCACACTTCGAGGATGCTGATTGGAGCGGGTGAACGAAAAGAGGGACTCTATTGGTATCGTGGTGTGAGTGGCATAAAGGCGTATCAGACCAATGCAGAAAATCAACTGGAGATTTGGCACAAGCGAATGGGACATCCTGCCTACCAGATTGTTAGAAAAATTCCGCATCTGAACAGCGTGAATAGAAATACGGATACAACTCGTGTGTGTGAAGTGTGTGAGAGATCAAAGCAATGCAGAAACACATTTCCTTTAAGTGATTTTCAAGCATCCAATATATTTGATTTAATACATTGTGATTTATGGGGTCCATATAGAACTCCCTCGTCTTGTGGTGCATCTTACTTTCTCACTTTGGTTGATGACTGTTCTCGAGCTGTGTGGATATATCTCTTGAATAATAAGAAAGATGTGTCACAAACCTTAATGCATTTCATCGCCTTAATAGAACGACAATACGAGAAACAAGTCAAAATATTACGAAGTGACAATGGAACTGAGTTTATGTGTCTTCAACGATATTTTCAGCAACATGGGATACTCCATCAAACCTCATGCACTGGAACACCTCAGCAAAATGGGAGAGCCGAACGAAAACATCGACACATCCTAAATGTAGCTCGTGCTCTACGATTTCAGGGAGAACTTCCACTTCAATTCTGGGGAGAATGCATTTTGACCGCAGGATACTTGATCAATCGTACACCCTCAACCGTTCTCCATGGAAAAACTCCATATGAAATATTGAATGGGAAGCCACCCACTTATGACCATCTACGGGTATTTGGATGCTTGTGTTATGCACATAACCAAGATAGGAAAGGTGACAAATTTGCAAGTAGAAGTCGCAAGAATGTATTTATTGGATATTCAATCGAAAAAAAGGGCTGGAAATTGTTTGATCTGGAAAGAGAAGTCTTATGGACTTCGAGAGATGTTAAGTTTGTAGAACATGAATTCCCGTTTGCCTCTCTTGCCCACAGTAGACATTCAGAGGTAGGATTGCCTACTGTTGATGTTGGCATTGTCGAGGAAGCATTGCCTGGACTTGGTGCAATGAACAATGCAGAACACGTTGTGGAGACTGATGACGTTAACCCCACAACAGAAGATGTGCCCACAACTGAGTTCAGGGAGGGTCACGCTGAATGCCATGAACAAGAGCCTCCCACCCAGATCGTTCTCCCACCAGAACAAACTGACTCTATGATGACAGAACTAGAGGTTCCTGAGGAGCATACTGTCCCTGCATCCCCGGGGAAAGGTCTTCGTGTACGAAAGCCATCTCGTGAAGCTTCGTGATTATGTCACTAACACCACTTTACAACTCGGTCCCTCAATTCGCACTCCACATTCAGCCTTCCTCAGGTATGCCTTACAGTTTGACAAAGTACTTAAATTGTGCTAAATTCTCCTTCCCCCACCGAACCTTTCTTGCAGCCCTTCATGCGGAGCGAGAACCCTGTGCATTTCTTTGAAGCCGTTCGGATGTTAGATGGAGAGATGTCATGGCTAGTGAAATTCAGGCCCTCCAAAGTAATGAAACATGGGACATTACTCCTCTACCGGCAGGGAAGAAGCCTCTGGGTTGCAAGTGGATTTATAAAATCAAATATCATTCTGATGGGAGCATTGAACGCTTCAAAGCCCGATTAGTTGTCTTGGGAAATCACCAAGTTGAGGGGATTGACTATGACGAGACCTTTGCCCCAGTGGCAAAGATGGTCACCATTCGGACAAGTGTTGGCAGTGGCGGTAGCCAAAGACTGGGAACTCCATCAAATGGATGTCCATAATGTTTTTCTCGCACGACGATCTTGAGGAAGATGTGTACATGAAAATGCCGCCAGGGTTCTTGGTGTCTCAAAAGGGTATGGTGTGTCGTCTCCGCAAGTCCCTTTATGGTCTTCGTCAAGCTCCTCGTGTTGTTTTGCCAAGCTCTCAACTCGCTCTTGTTCAATATGGGTTTCAACGTTCTTCGGTCTGATCACTCCTTGTTCATCTTTCGCAAAGGAGATGTCGAACTGGTTGTGTTAGTTTACGTGGATGACCTAGTCATTGCTGGCAATCATCATGAAGACATTGCGCAATTCAAAGATTATCTTCATCAATGTTTTCGTATGAAGGACTTAGGGAAATTAAAATACTTTCTTGGGGTGGAGGTTGCCAGATCTCCTACAGGAATTTTCTTGTGTCAACGGAAGTATGCGTTGGACATCATAGCTGAAGCAGGATTGCTTGGAGGGAAACCTGTGTCCACGCCAATCGAAGAAAATCATCGTTTAGCATTGGCTGATGGCGAACTACTTTCTGACCCGAGTCAATATCGACGTCTCGTCGGTCGCCTTATTTACTTGTGTTTTACACGACCTGAATTATCTTACAGTGTTCATGTCCTATCTCAATTCATGCACCAACCGCGTCAGGAGCATTGGCGGGCTGCACTCCGCGTGGTACGCTATTTAAAGGGCAGCCCGGGTCAGGGTGTGCTTTTAAAAAGAGAGAGTGACCTTCGTCTTTATGGTTGGTGTGACTCGGACTGGGCAAGTTGTCCTCTCACTCGAAGATCTCTCACCGGTTGGTTTATTTTCCTTGGTCAATCCCCCGTTTCCTGGAAAACCAAGAAGCAACATACGGTTTCTCGATCATCCGCTGAGGCAGAATATCGTTCTATGGCCAACACGACATGTGAGTTGAAATGGCTTCAAGGCCTTCTTTCGAGCCTAGGCATTACTCACACCGACCCTATGACTCTCTACTGTGACAACCAAGCTGCCCTTCACATTGCCAAGAATCCTGTGTTTCATGAACGGACAAAACATATTGAAGTGGATTGTCATCTTATTCGTGATGAAATACAACAATCATATCCAACCCTCCTATGTGTCCACTCATCATCAACTGGCTGATCTCTTCACCAAATCTCTTGGCGCCACTAAATTTGGTTCTTTTTTAGGCAAGTTGGGCATTCATAACCTTCATACTCCATCTTGAGGGAGGGTGATAAACATATAATATACGATTACAAATACCGTATCATGCCAT